CTCAAGTGAAGTGCAATTTTCTCATTGATTTTCGGTGCCCTTAAAGATTCAATTATAATTCATGGAAAATATGCATATAAATATTCATTTTTTTACCTTATTAAATAGAAAATAACAGCTTTTTCCAATTTTATTCTCGAAGGAAGGGTATAATTCGGTTTTAAATAGTTTCTACTGGTGACATTTTTTAATACTGTGAAATGGCGTTCATAGAATGTCATGTCTCTGCATTTACTTATGTGGCTTGTAAAGTTTACAATATGGCTGAAATCCACTACTAAATTTTACGAACTCCATATGGCCCCCTCTTAATACCGTAGAGAAATGTATGATTTTCCGTACGCGGAAGATATACGGCTTGTAATTCGGAAAATTTGAATGCAATTTTAACGGCAGTTCAGGTTCAAAATTGTCCGGGAATGGAAAAAGTTTTTAAAAACCGAATTTTACCTTTCCTCGAGCATAAAACTTGAAGAAAACGTAATTTTTTACCGAATGAGCAAAAAATGAATATTTCTATGCATGCTTTCCACGAATTAAAATAGAGTCTTTAAGGGCATCGAAAATCAATGAGAAAAATGCATGCTATTTCAGTAGCCATTTTTTGCAGAGTATAGTTTTTTTCATGCAGACGGAAAGAAGTTCGTTCAAAGGCGGCATTCTGAGGCAACTGAATTATTATAGAATTATGCTGCATCATAATTAGCTTTACAAGCCTACTTAATTAATCTTTCCGAAACCAAAACGCATTTCAGGATGTCGGTTGACATTTCATGAGTTAACCCACCTACTGTACATTTCTAATAAAGCCTACGCAAAATTCTGAATGTTTGATTAGGATGCTCCACACCTGACACCTCCCTGGCGCGCAATAAAACATCTTTTCATTAGAATTCTGGTTTCTTAGTCAACGATCACCTGTCAGACGACATGGCTCTTTTTCTACTCAAATCAGTTTTCTTCTTTCCCTGCGTCTGGTTAGGCGGAAGCCTGTCGGTGACCATCACGCCCACGTGTCACGGACACTGTCCCTTTCCGAGATTTCTCTACTTCCACATCCCCGTGCGCTGCGAGTCACATCACAACAGTCTACAGCCTGTGCCGTTGTACTTGCCCGCTTGCCCCACCAAACGGGCTGCGCCGCTCTTGCATTAGCCCAAAATAAGGCCACATTGCCTCGTGACTGCGTTTATCGGTTACGCGGAGTCCGCTTGTGCCCATAACCACTGGGGTGCGTGCGTGCGTGCGGCATGCCATAGACAAAAGCATTTATCACTGCACTAAATTTCATTATCAGTTGGCCGACAGGCTCGCAGAAACCGCCAGTACCTGCAGCGTGAGGACTGAAGCCGATACCAAGATGCCCTTCCTAATTTCAAACCAATACTCTCCTCCTCATCATGCTAGATATGACGAGTTTGAGTCTCCGAGGACAAGCCAAAATTCGTGGCTTCGAAGACTGCCGGTTCCCTCACTGCGACGAGGGTCAGACAGCAAGGGCTCCATCCTAATGTGCTTGTTTTGGCACTTATCACTTCGGTAGTATCCGACCCCGTGGGTGACAGGCGTTAGGTGACGACTTCACTTCAGGTCAGTCATTTCGTCCAGTCTCATTTTCAATCAACTTGACTTGCACAGACTACCAGTGCTTTCAAGGGGAAAGAAAAGGTGAGGCCGATCTAAGATACTTCATTTACGAATAAAGTATGAATTTTTCCTCTGTGATTTTCAGTGT